TAGTGTTGTCCTTGCTTAGCTTTGGAATAGGGTTATACTTACTTCAGAGAATGAACTAGAGACTTCCATCCTTCTCTATGCTCCAGAATATTTTGAGTAGAATTTAGAATTCAGATTTTTTTTTTTTTTTGTATATTTGGGAGAATTATCCAGTAAAGGTGTCTGAGCCAGGGCTTTTTTTGGTGGGGATTTTTTTTTTTTTGTTGTTGTTGTTGTTTTAAATGACATGTTCAATTTCTTCTTGTGTTATGAATCTCAAAATTTTCTATTTCAAACTGTGTTAATTTGGGCAGGTAATGTATTTCTAGAAATTTGTCCATTTCCATGTCTTGAAATTTGTTGGAGTACAGTTCTTCATAGTATTCTGTTATTATCCTTTTTACTTCAATTTATTCTGTTGTAACTTCACTTATTTCATTTCTCATTTGTGTTATGTTCATCTTCTTTTCCTTTGTTAAGTTTTCCAGGTTTTTTTCTATTTTCTTAATCCTTTCACAGAACTTTCACCTTTATTTATTCTATTGTTATTCTGCTTCATTTATTTCTGCTCTAATTTTTATTGTTTCCTCTCTTCTGGTGACTGTATGCATTTTTTTTTTCCCTTAATCATTGGAGATGTTTGGTTGAGGTATTGATTTTGGTTCTTCTTTTTTGATTTTTTTGTTTGTTGCTACAAATTGACCTCTTTGCACTGCTTTTCCTGTGCCCCAAGGGTTTTGTATGTTGTCTATTCTCATTTGACTCAAGAAATTTTTTAAAATTTTATTTTTTATTTATTCTATTATTCAGTAAGGAACTCTGATGATGTAGTGCCTAAGGCATTTGACTGCTAACCAGAAAGATGGTGGTTCAAACCCACCAGCCACTACATAGAAGGGAGACTGAGCAATCTACTTCTGTTAAGATTTCCTGCCTGGGAAACTGAAAGGGGGTTCCTATAAGTTGGAATTGACTTGATGGCAGTGAATTTTTTTTTGTTTGTTTGTTTTGTTATTCAGTAGTTTTATAGCAAGGAGTTTTTCAGTTACCATATGTGTTATTGTTTCCCCTTTTTCTTCCTGTTATTGGTTTCTAGTTTTGTAGCATTGTGATCTGAGAAGATGCTTTGTAGTATTTCAAAGTTTTAGTATTTGTTGAAGCTTTCCTTGTGATCTAGTATATGGTCTATTCTGAGAATATTTCATGTGCACTGGGAAAGAATGTATATTGAGCCTTTGTTGGGTAAAGTGCTCTGTATATGTTTATAAGGTCAAGTTAGTTGTTTGTATTGTTTGGATCTTCTGCTTTTTTTTTCTGAGTTTATTTCTAGTTGTTCTTTCCTTCACTGAGAATAGTGTATTAAAAGCTCCTAGTATTATTCTGTAGTAAGATGGTTGAAATCAGAGAATACCAGAAAGGTGTTTATCTATGTTTTATTGATTATGTGTACAAAGGCATTTGCCTGTGTGGATTATAACAAACTATGGATAATATTGCAAAGAATGAGAATTCCAGAACACTTACTTGTACTCAAGTGGAATCTTAAACATAGACCAAGAGTCAATAATTTAAAAAAAACAAGGGGGTACTTCATGATTTAAAATCAGGAAAGGTGTATGCCAGGGTTATATTCTTTCACTATAGTTATTCAATCTGTATGCTGTGCAAATAATCTGAGCAGCTGGACTGTACAAAGAAGAATGCAAGATCAGAATTAGGGCAAGACTCATTAACAATGTGAGATATACACATGACACAACCTTGTTTGCTGAAAGTGAAGAAGACTTGAAGCACTTAGTGATGAAATTAAAAGACTACAGCCTGCACTATAGATTATACTCAACACAAAGAAGACATAAATCCTTGCATAAGCAAAATCATGATAAATGGAGAAAAAATTGAAATTGTCAAGAATTTCATTTTACTTTGATCCATAGGAATGAGCAGTCAAGAAATCATACTATGTGTTGCACTGGGCAAATATGCTGCAAAAAATCTCTTTACAGTGTTAAAGAGCTATAATATCATTTTGATATTAAGGTATGTTTGACCCTAGACATGGAATTTTCAATCACCTCATATGCATGTGAAAGCCGGGCAATGAATATTGAAAACCAAAGAAAATTCGATGGATTTGAATTATGGTGTTGGTAAAAAATATTGAATATGCCATGGACTGCCAAAAGAATGAAGATGTCTGTCTTGGAAGAAATAAAACCAGAAAGCTCCTCAGAAATGAAGTTAAAAAAAAATTATCTCTAAAATTTTATCATTTTATCAGGAGGGACCAGTCCCTGGAGAAGGATAACATGCTTGGTAAAGTACAGGGTTAGTGAAAAAGAGGAAGGCTCTCATTGAGATAGATTCACGGTGGCTGCAATAGTGGTATAAAATATAGTAATAATTGTGCAGATGACACAGGACTGGACAATATTTTGTTCTGTTGTATATGGGATCTGCTGTAAGTCAGAAGTGATTGGATGGCACTTAACAACTCTTATAATGGAGTTGTCTATTTCTCTTTTTAAGTCTGTTAAAGTTTGATATATTCATTTTAGGGCTCTTGCAGTTGGCACACAGATAATTATTATGATTATGTCTTCTTGTTGGATTGATCTTTTAATCATTTTATAACATCCTTCATTCTCTTAATAGTTTTTACCCTTAACGTTTATTTGATCAGAAATGAATATTGCCAAGCCTGCTCTTTTTTTGGTTCCAATTTGCTTGGTATATATTTTTCCATACTTTGATTTTTTAGCTTATTTTTTTCTTTAAATCTAAGGTATGTTTCTTGTACATAGCATATAGGTGGTTCATGTTTTCTTATCCATTCTGCTATTCTCTGTCTCTTGACATTTAATCTATTTACATTCAGTGTAATAACTGATAGGTATGAATATACTGCTGTCATTTTGCTATGTTTTTTTTCTTTTCTTGTAATGTTAATGATTTCTATGTTCTATATATTTTTCTGAGTTCATTTTGTTTACAGATTTTCTTATCATGTCCTTTATTGCTGTTGATTTTTTGTTTACTGAGTATGATTTTCTTCTTTCTACTTTGGTGAGAAGGTTTAGTAATTTCCCTTGAGACAGGCTAGAAGATCAGGTATGAATAGCCAAATGGGAATATACCACAACCATCTATAGGTTTGGCAGACAATATTCTTATGTATGTATTATAAAAATAGCCATATTCAGTTTAAACTATTAAGTTTAAGGAGGCAAAGTTAAGATACCTTTTAGCTACAACTAAGCACCTTGAGGGAGTGAATCACTGGACCTGTAGGTTGGGGACCACAGTTTAGGGGACATCAAGCTCAACTGGCACAAGATGGTATACAAAAATATTGTTTTCCAGCTTACTTTAGTGAATAGACTGGGGTCTTAAGAGCTTGTGAGTGGCCATCTAAGATGCAACTATTGGTCTGTCCTCGTCCAGAGCAAAGAAGAGTGAAGAAAATCAAAGATGCATGGAAACAGCTAGTTCTAAGGACTAATGGACGAAGAGAACCTCAGCCTATATGAACCTGACACCAGAAGAAGTAGGTGCTATACAACTACCAATGCCAATCACTGAAAGATGGATCAAAATTGGAGAACCTGAACAGAGTGGGAGAAAAATGTAGAACAAATCTCAAAATCATAAAAAAGATCAAGCTTACTACTCGATAGAGACTGGTGAAACCCTCAAGACTGTAGCTAGAGTTCCCCTTTGGGTGTGGAACTGAACTCACCTCGATAGCTTAAGTCTCAGCCAAACAATAGACAGACCTATGAGCTGAACACCAACACTAGGGATAGAGGAAAAAATAAAATTCCTTTGAGGTTACCTTGTAATTTATTATTATTTTCCCAAGTTTAAATCAGTCAGTTTTATGTAGATATACTGTCTTGACTTCCTCTACACTTGGAAGTTTTGTAACTACATCATTTATTCCCTCTTTTTGCTTTGTAGTTATCATCATTTACAAATTGACATCTCTGGTTCCCTATCTTCAGTCTTGTAGGTTTATTTTATTTTAAAAACTTTTTTATCTGGTTTGTTTCCATGTGATGTTGCCATGTGTCTTTAATCTCAGGTTGTTGTCTGTTGTCATTGCTTCTTTGTCCAATGAATCATATTTCTCTTTAGCATTTCTTGTAAGATTGGTCTGTTTTTTTACAAATTCCCTTGATTTCTGTTTATCAGGGAATGTCCTAATTTTGCCATCATATTTATGGGGCAATTTTATTGGATATATAATTCTTGGTTGGCAATTTTTTTCCTAGAGTTTTTATATGTCATCCCATTGCCTTCTTGCCTGCATGATTTCTACCAAGAAATTAGAACTCAGTCTTATCAGTTCTCCTTTGTAGGTAATTTTTCACTTTTCCAGAACTGCTTTCAGTATTCTTTCTTTATGTTTTGTTTTGGAAGCATTGATTATGATATGTCTCGGTGCTTTTCTTTTGGCAGATCCTCTATTTAACTTCCTGTTCCATCTGGTATTTTCTCTAGGGAGCAAATATTGGTATGATTTTTCTTTATTTTTATTTTTCCTATCATGTACTGCATCACCAAAACCTATATGAGAAAAGAATAAGGTCAATTTTTATTAACATATATTGTTACTCTAAGATGACTTTGTGTGCTATCTCATTTCAGAGTTACTGCATTTAGCAGTATAGAGCCATGTCACTTGGGTAGGGAGTAGGGATGTTTTGAAGCTCCAACTATGGAGTCTGTCTTCTTTGAGTACTGGTAAATTTAACAATGAATGGAGAACAATAAAGGGCAGAACATGTGACTGGAAAGGAGTAGGCATAGTTTTGTAATTTGCAGATGGTTTGCTCTTCTTTCCTTCCTTCTTCTTTAATGTTATGAATTTTGGGACAAAATTTCAAAACTTATCATTACTATAGATTCATTTACACATTTATTGCAAAATCACAAATAGTCTTTGAAATATTTTGATTCTATAGTGTAGATTTTTATTGATTTGAGAGTGACACTTTATTTTGGTTGAATTACCCTAGTGCCCTTGTGAAAGGATGCCGTTGTCTGGAAATTGACTGCTGGGATGGAGCACAAAATGAGCCTATTGTATACCATGGTTATACACTTACCAGCAAGATTCTATTTAAAACTGTTATCCAAGTGATACACAAATATGCTTTTATGGTATGTGCAAAACTCTGTTAAATTATACGTATTTAAACAGAATCAGTCATAGTTCCTTTAAAATCCTGTAATGTCTGGCCTTAGTTTAGTTCAGTAGTACTTTAAATTGTGAGTTATGGTCCATTTTTTAGGTAGTGAAATCAATATAGTTTATAGTTAAAGGAAGACTTATCAATTACTTTTATGAAGTAAGGGTATATTTTGTTTCATGGAGTTTTTTGTTTGTGTGTATGTGTGTGTGTATATACATACATATATATGTATATATATATATATACACATAGGAGCTCTGGTAGCATAGTGCCTAAGGCACTTGACTGCTCACCAGAAGGCTGGAGGTTCAAGCCCACCAGCCACTCCTTGGAAGGA